AGCAGCAACAACCGCAACCATCAGCAGCAGCAGAGCAGCAACAACCGCAACCAGCAGCAGCAGCAGCAGCAGCAGCAGCAGCAGCGGCAACAAAGCAGGAACGCATGGAGGAATGATATAGATGATTTAAAAAATCACACAATTTTGCTGGCACGGCACAACCCTTGGTTGTCGATCTTTTTTGAGAGGGCTGCAAAGGGCTGCGCAAACGGAGCTGTGCTATCAATAATATGTTTACAAGGTTAAAAGGTAGCTGGTAGAAAGAATATGCATAGATCCCCTCAAGAGGCGCAGCTGGGAGTTGAACCGCGGGGGGGGGGGTTAGCTTGATATATATATATATCTCAATCTTTAAGGCACGCAGCCCATCCCAATACATTGCTAAAGCAAAAGAATAACTCAGCTAGCATGCTAGCATTCGTGATCAAATGCAACACCGAATGAGTCCCAATCACTCCTCCGGCAATTGGTGCGAGCGAATGATCCATTTTAAACCTTTGGGCAGCGTTTGACAGATCGATCGTCGACAGCTATAAACTTGTTGGCTTGAAGCAGCCGGACTGCGGTCCAAACAAGGAAGGGCATCCCTAGAAAAGCGCAAATTGAAATTGTACACAATAGCGCTGACATGAGATGGAGGGAAAAGCTTTAAAATCTTAAGGTCCGCATCCTTCTTGCTTGTGTCAGTTGTTGTCCCGATCTGGCACATTTATCAGTTTTTGTACTCAGGTTCCAGCCAGTACGTTTCAGGAAGGCTGCGGTCAAGTCAGGCCCCCACCTCAAACCCAATTAAACTATTCTATTTGTTTGAGCAATCCTGTTTCCTTCCTTTCGTTTCCAATCCTTTTTACATTGCCAGACTATGTACACAAACCAGTTCCAATCTCAGGCCTGCACTTGACGCCGGCACCTCTGGGATTGGCCTCCCAGCCCAGTTTCTCCTGTGGGTCAGACCAGAGTAGATCCTGGAAGACCTGAGCGTGGGAAGCAAAAGCTCCTGCAAAAAAATCAAAAACACACACAATGCTTTGATATTCTTTGGCCTGCTCCTCCAAGCACAGCGGATAGCATCCTTCGCACAAACTGTGCAACCAGTTCATCAACTCTGAGACACTGACCCAAGTCATACACTATCATTATATGTTCTTTTGGCCCACGTAAGAATGAAGAAACGCTCGCACTACTCATTTGGTTCCTAGATATTTTTATCAGCTGGACTAACTCATGGCTTCATGCTTTCCTCAGAAGCGGAAAGGAAGAACTTCACCTTCGCCTCCATACACCAAAAATCATCCTCAATGCAAGTCCACACTGCAGGGTCTCCTCCATGTGGACAGCTGACAATGCCAGCATCAATGTCCCTGATAAAGGGCAAGTTCAAGTTGGACTTGGCATTACGGGCCTCGCAAGGGTGAAGATGACGCAGGAGATCCACTACCAACAGGTCAACAGGTTGAAAAAGCACATGCTCTGAGTTCCCTTCTGCGATGCTCTGGAGCAATTGGGTGCCAGGCCAAGCCCCCGTGAACCACAAAGAGTTCCTTTGAAGCAAAGCAAACTACATGACACATTGGTTGACACATTGATGCGGTAGGTATCAACTGACATCAACGCACCAGCTGAGCAACGAGCCCTTTGCACTACTACAGCCAAAGGTAGCATCTTGTAGATGGCCTCGAACTTCATGAAAATGCCTTTGCATCGCAGGCAACTTTGCTTACTGAAAACGCTCTGCCAAGCCAAGTGGGGCGTTGCTCGCGATATGTTGTCATGCAAATGGCTCATACTTGCTGGGTCAAGCTTCAAAGGAGCCCCGACCAACTCGCGCATGCTTTTGCAAGGAGCACATGTGCGCGGTCAATGCATTTGCTTAAAGAATGCACACCCCGAACATCTGCGAGCTCTACAGTAGACATGTGAGCTCTACATTTGAAAACTGCATTGTGAAGGTATCCTATAGCCTATATTTAATATTCCCCATGATGCCCAGACATTGCTCTAGCCTAAGTTGAGCCCTTGCCTCAGGTGCCGATTGCCAGTTTCAAAAGGTCCAATTTCATGAACCGTGCAGTTGACCGACTGACTAAAAGCAATGAATGACCAGGCCCCAGGCTGTGGAAAAAAATGGTTTAGACGAAATCTCGACAAAAGGGTATTGGTGGCCGAAGGAGGGCACGGGAACATGAACAGTGCATGACATGGAAAAACTCAGGGAGATCCACAGAAGAGGCTAATTGACGACAATAACGAGGAACAAAGAGGCAAAGGAGAACTAAAGAAGTGAGAAGCGCAGAAACACAAGAGACAAGGGAAAGGGGACTGATCACTTGGTTCTGGATCCCGCTCTGTCGCGTTGCCCTCCTTTGTCGTTGTACGTTGATGTCCAAGAAGCCACCAGTGTATTTCTGCAAGACCTCCTCGTGAAACCCACCACCCTCCTCACTCGTCAACTTGTTCATTTCTTCATCCTGCAAATGCTGCCAGGGTACTCATTCTATTGACCCGAGCAAAAAATGAGTTGACTAACTTTCTGCCCACCAATCATCAGAATCATTTAAAAACCGGCTATGCCCCGGGCATGACACATGCAAAGGAATTTTCATTGGCATGGCCATCGTACAAAGTACAAAGGACTATATACCAGTCAGCCAATCTCCTCATGGTTTCCACGAGTGATGACAAGGCAGTCGGGGTCTTCAATGAAAAAGGCAAAAAGCAGCAAGAAGATCTCGCAGGCATTTGGACCTGGTCGCCAGGAGCTTTTCAAGAAAGCAGCCCTGAGGAATTCAGATACTTAGACTGCCCTCATGATGATGTATATTCGATTTGTTGTAAGTTGGATCTTCGAGCTTTGGCTGCCTCGATCTGCAATGTCCCCATTGAAAATATACCTGGCGGGTCGGCAAACGGTGTGTCACTGAGTGATTATTGGCTGGCTGCTTGTGCTCGCGGCTGTTCACCATGAAGACTTGCAAAGACTGTTGTATGGCCTCCAACCAACTAGCGATGGCCTCCAGCCTAATAGCAGCAAACACGTATTTTTGGGCCTATTGCGGCTTGAAGGTGTGCCATGCGCCAGGAAAATAGTAAGGACGTCCTCAAGCTGACCGTGCGTGTCGCCTGCACCGGCTGCATCAAAGCAACACTTAACGACTTAACTTGATCGCCGATGTTATTTTGGGGTGTGCTGTAATCAAAAACGAGTTTCTATATGATTCCATGATTCACATGGATTGTCTATGCACCATTCATAACATTTGATGTACTTTGCAGCGGTGACACAAACAAATTCACAATATATATATATATATAGAGATGTAAAGCACTGCGCTCACGCGGCGGCAAAGTTGAGCATTGAGCACTCTAGCAACCCATCGATCGTTTCTAAATGGCCTACCACAACCGTCTGGCCACCAAAAGGAACTTGCACATCTGGAAGGAGAGATGTATACCTGCGTGCCCAGCCCAACTGCAATGCCACCACAAGCAGCAAAAACACTCAAAAACAAACAGCCCTTCCACACAACCAGTGTTCTTTGCTCCATGGTTGTGCCTTCCTGCTCAAGATTAAACCGAACCCCTGTTCTGACTGTGCTGCATTGCGAAGTAATATGAGACAAAACATGCAATCTCCGACCAAAGCTGTGCCTTCCGTGCTTCTCACTCCAAACCTGCCACATTCCAATCAGCGAGCAGGAACCCTGAAACATTTCTCAACATCTCACTCGATAAAGTTGGAAACCAGGGTGCTAGATCCATTGAAACGAGGGTGGGGTTCCTCCTGCTGCTCAAAACCTAATGGAGCGAATCAGTTGGAAGAAACCTGAGTGAGACAGAGTGAGGTGATCTTTTCCAGGCCATGTAGGCTGTGCCTTCACAAACTTGTCCAGGAGTTTGTGCACATACCTGCCCGGTTGTGTTCAAACTGGACATGAGGCATGTTGTCAGCAAGCATCGTGCCGTTCACGAGCAAGGCACACCAACGTGCAAGGGTTGCGATCGCCATGCATCATGTTGGTCTTTGCAACGCTGTCTCAAGATCAAGGAAGCTGGCTTTGGATGCAAACCACCCTGCACTGTCATGCACACAAGCCTCTTGGAAATGGGCATTCGTGATTTTCGAGTCAGCAACCTCAGCGCAAGTGCAAATGCTAAATGGTGAGAAACAATAATGCACGTGGACCAGTTTCCTTTACAATTTCCAACATTCAGGCAAACACTTTTGTAGCAACTCGTCAGCGGTCATGCCCAACTCTTCTGCTCGCTCCTTCTTGACGATTGTCTTCACCTCAAGGAAAAAGTGTCTTGCTGAACCCCACTGTCCATGGATGAAGACCGGTCGAACACCATCTATATACACGTGGCAAACTTACTCAAGGTTCTTCAATGCCAAAACAGTCAGCAAGCTCTTGAACAATCTGGTGACCCTGCACGGAACATGTCACCAGCCTAAACGTAAAAAATTAGATGACATCTCGAACAGCAATTTCAACTCTCTCTCCCTATCTGGCGGGCATTGCAACTGCGACAGCATCAAGTTGGAAGAACGAAAGGCAAACATATTGACATGACTTCACACACACACACTTGGAAGAAAGCTCGCAAGAGCAAAAAATTGGTGTTCTTCAGTTGTGCTGGAAATCTCCGGTCAAAACCATTGCATTGCTGCATTAGACAAGCTGTCAAAAAAATCCTAGAAATGGCCCTGTGCAAATGGAAAGTCGGAAAGTCAGAAACAGTATGGTTTACAACATCGAGTGAGTGAACATCTGCAGGTACACAGTACGCACGAGTGATTAATCGTGCATCCCACTCCAAGGCATAGCTTTGTTGCACTGAGTTTGCCAAGGAGTGCCCCTGCAAAGACGCATGATTAAAAAGTGTGAGTACCACTTAAAAGTCCACAACCTTAAGCTTTGTGTGAAAACGCTTAGAAAGAGGTTTGGACACACACACACACCTCTAAACAACCTGAGGTACTCAAAGGTGTGAGCGGACAAAAGACATTGGAACCTGAAAGCATCTTCGAATAACAAACAAAAGGTACAGGTTGACGACTCATTGTCAATTGAAGCATACATGAGAATCATGTCTGATCATGTCTGTGATGTTATCCAGCCCGGCTCGGCATCAAACACAACCCGCGAGGTCACTTTTGACGGCAAGATGCACTTTTGACTCGGACAATGTCGCAGGGAAGGAAATCCTGCACAAGCTAGGGGGTTCCAGGCATGTGATGTATGCCGCAAATCAGGTTGTCGTCTTGGCATGGGGAAGTTTGGGTGTGCGTATTCACCAAGACTACAAATAACACACGAGAAAGAACCTGGAACCGGAGTCCTCATCATCTTCATCCTCGTCATCCTCTTCAGAGGCCTAGGAAGTGAGTAGGAAGTGTCTGCTAGTAAATGCACTTAAACTACCTTGATCTACCTTGAATTTGATTGTCACATTCAAGGAAACTGGATTGCAGGGTGGGCCGTTATGGTGAGTTGGAAATTTGCTTGCTTGGCTCACATATCTTCAAGGATGTCATGGGGATTCTGTGAATGCAAAAAGTGGCAGCTCTCACCTCATCCTCATCTTCATGAGATACTGGAGCATAGGCTGACCTGTTGGTGGTATTTCTCGAGGGTGCTCGATCGTCATAGGACCTCAACGAAGCAAGATTATTGTCACCTCAGTGCAGACAATCTCTAAGCGCAACCAAGCGACTCTCCGTCACCGAGCATCTCTCCGACCTCAAGTGTCCACCCAAACCACTGATGAAAAACAGGAATCTGCATTCAGAACACCAACAAATCAACAATCAATAGTATAGAGTATAGAGGTACAAAACCTCAAAGTTTGTTCCTGGCTGGCTGAACATCACAAACTCTCCCAGAATTGTAAGGCTGCTGGGCTGCGCGTCGTCGCATGAAGACTTGCTCTTTCTCATGAGAGTCAGCACAGTTGGCCAAATACGTCCTCACTTGGGCTGCCAACCTGAGCGGCAAGTTGTGTTGGCCCCATGATGTCCACTAGCACGTAATTGCAATTACAGTTACAGTGCAGTTATGGATGGACCACTGTAAATGCATCTGGGCCTGCGGTGTGTACTATGTATTGATACCAAATGCTGAGGATAGGCCAGCTTATCATTCAATGAATTTCCGAAGGCTTCATTGGTGATCCGGCCTGGGGGCCTAGCTGAATGGAATTGCGTAAATATACAATATTCAGAAGTTAAGGTCATCTTCAATCTTCCATGGCACACTATATACATGTAAATCAGTAAAACTAAGTGGTTGCATCCAGGCAGCTGTTTCTTGGCTAAGTAATTCGCCTCATCTTGTTCCTCCAGAAGGGCTTCGCAGCGCTCCATCCACGTGGAGAAATCGTTGTTTCTCCTGCTTTGCCAAAAGGCACATGCATGCTACATGATGTATGGTTGCGTGCCTTTGTCAGCAAGCCTGGTGCCCTATTCACCCTAAAACTGTCAAATGAAATGTTCCTGGAAATAATGCCAACAGAGTTTCCATCGTTACACGTAACGGCGCGCTAGCTAATTTGAGGAGCCCTATCTCATTTGATCGACTACTTAAGTAGGAGGTTCCCAAGTTGTCATGTTTACACCATCTGCATGAGGCATGTTGAGACTACTTTAGCAACAATTGACATGTTGCAGTAAATCTTTCCTTGACGGGTTCACAAGCGAATACTCACGATGGACCAGCAATTAGTAGATGTTGCACATTGTAGACGACTTCAGTCTAAACAAACATGTTTTTTCCCGAATGCGTAGCGAAGGGTTCTCGTTTAACTCTTGGGGGTCTGGGGGTGGAGCCTTGTTCGTGACCCGTTGTTTCTAAGTTCGCAACCGTCCGCAGCCGTCCGCAACCGTTCGCAACCGTCCGCAACCGTTCGCAACCGTCCGCAACCGTCCGCAACCGTCCGCAACCGTCTGCAACCGTCCGCAACCGTTCGCGGTAGAGCGCTAAGGCGCTGCCATTGGGGGAAGCTTTTGCAAGTGACTATTCATGGATGTGTCACGTGTCAGTTTGCGCCGCTATTCCATTGTGATTTGCATGAAAATGACATGTCGTGCAAGAAGCGTGATGCATTTCGCTGCACAGGCGCAGCGTTTTGTGAGATCCGCAGTTTGCTGTGCAGTTCCATTGGGATTAGCGTTTGGAGAGTCGTGTTTTTGGGGTGTTGGATGTGGCCGTGCCATTGGGATTTGCGTTTCAGGGTGTGGCATCGAAGCTCTGTTTTCGTGACAAGTCTCAGCTGAAATGCCGATTTTGGTGGATGGGAGTGTGCTAGAACGGGTCGAAATCATTCCAAACGTGTGGTGTGGTGCAAATTTTGTTGAAGCTCACATGAGATGACATTGTTACTTTTCGTGGCAGGCGCAGGACTTTGTGCGGGTTTTGAGGTGTGGAAGTGAAATTTTCGTGGCAGGCGCAGGGAATCGTGAGGTTGCGATGTGTGACGGAGGTGACATTTCGTGGCAGGCACAGTACTTTGTGCGCGTTAGACGTGTGGACGCGGAAAGATTCGTGGCAGGCGCAGGGAATCGGGAGGTTGTGAGTTGTGGTAGAGGTGAATGTCGCTGTCGCATTGGGATTGGCGTGTGAGCGGGTGTCGTTTGGAGGGGCTGGACTCGCGAAACTGCTTGGCAGGGCTGCGTGATGTGTATGCTCCGATGGGTGTTTCCGCTGGACTTTTGGAGGAAGTCTCGTGCGAAACGTTCGTTTTGCAGACTTTTGACATGTGAGTTATTGAGGAAGTCTCGTACGAAACGCTCGCTTTGGGGACTTGACATGTGACTTTTGGAGGAAGTCTCGTACGAAACGCTCGTTTTGGAGACTTGACGTGTGACTTTTGGAGGAAGTCTCGTAAGAAACGCAGCGTGACTATTGGAGGAAGTCTCGTACGAAGAGTGTGACCTACAGGAGTGTCCCACAAGAGTGTCCTACAAGAGTGTCCCACAAGAGTGTCCTACAAGAGTATCCCACAAGAGTTTCCTACAAGAGTGTCCCACAAGAGTGTCCCACAAGAGTGTCCCACAAGAGTCTCCTACAAGAGTGTCCCACAAGAGTGTCCCACAAGAGTGTCCCGTATGAGTGTCCCACAAGAGTGTCCCGTATGACTGCCCCACAAGAGTGTCCAGCATGTCCCACAAGAGTGTCCCGTATGAGTGTCCCACAAGAGTGTCCCACAAGTGTGTCCCACAAGAGTGTCCGACAAGAGTGTCCCAGAAGAGTGACCCACAAGAGTGTCCTACAAGAGTGTGCAACAAGAGTGTCCCGTAAGAGTGTCCCACAAGAGTGTCCTACAAGAGTGTCCCACAAGAGTGTCCTACAAGAGTGTCCCGTAAGAGTGTCTCACAAGAGTGTCCCACAAGAGTGTCCTGCAACCATGTCCCACAAGAGTGTCTCACAAGAGTTAAGAGTGTCCCACAAGAGTGTCCTATAAGAGTGTCCCACAAGAGTGTCCCACAAGAGTGCCCTACAAGAGTGTCCCACAAGAGTGTCCTACAAGAGTGTCCCACAAGAGTGTCCTACAATAGCATCCCACAAGGGTTTCCTACAAGAGTGTCCTATAAGAGTGTCCCACAAGAGTGTCCCACAAGAGTGTCCTACAAGAGTGTCCCACAAGAGTGTCCCGCAAGAGTGTCTCACAAGAGTGTCCCTTAAGAGTGTCCCACAAGAATGTCCCACAAGAATGTCCCACAAGAGTGTCCCGCAAGAGTGTCCCAAATGAGTGTCCCACAGGAGTGTCCCACAAGAGTGTCCCGCAACAGTGTCCCGCAAGAGCGTCTCACAAGAGTGTCCCTAAGAGTGTCCCACAAGAGTGTCCCGCAACAGTGTCCCACAAGAGTGTGTCCCACAAGAGTATCCCACAAGAGTGTCCTACAGGAGTGTCCCAAAAGAGTGTCCCACAAGAGTATCCCACAAGAGTGTCCTACAGGAGTGTCCCACAAGAGTGTCCTACAAGAGTATCCCACAAGGGTTTCCTACAAGAGTGTCCTATAAGAGTGTCCCAAATGAGTGTCCCACAGGAGTGTACCACAAGAGTGTCCCGCAACAGTGTCCCGCAAGAGTGTCTCACAAGAGTGTCCCTTAAGAGTGTCCCACAAGAATGTCCCACAAGAGTGTCCCGCAAGAGTGTCCCAAATGAGTGTCCCACAACAGTGTCCCGCAAGAGTGTCTCACAAGAGTGTCCCTTAAGAGTGTCCCACAAGAGTGTCCCGCAACAGTGTCCCACAAGA